TTTTACAAAGTGAGCTAAAGTATCTCGAAGTCGGACATTCCTGACTATTGCACTTTCAGTTAAATGACCTTTACTCAAAGATATTATGTCCATATCTTGCAGCTTCACACAAAGACTTCTGGCGAATGCGTGCAAATGTATTACTTTTGGAAGAAACTCTGTGTGGATTACAAGGTGTCGCATCTAAAAATGGAGCCAGCTCCTGCGACCGTCCCAGCGGTGGAGCAGAAGCCCTACGTGTGCGAGATTGCCGACTGCTCGGCGGTAAGTAGTGTTCAGAGAGTGGGTAGACCTGTTCTGGTCGGGCTATGCTATCCCTATACCCTGTTGAGCTATTTAGTACCTCCACACACTTGCGTCTACAAAATACCCCCACAACTCACTCCGGTTCCTTTTACTCTCTTTCTTGTACATAATGCCGATCTCTCTGCGCTCCATGACCAAATTGTAGAGCTTCAGTTCTAAGGCGGCGCTGCATGGTCATGTTCGCATACACGCTTATGGTAGAAATGCCAGCAACAATAATAGCAGCAACAACAACAGCAACAGCAACAACAACCAGCATGCCACGGCAACTAGTGCCAACAACAACCATAATTCCAGCAACCACAGCAACAACAACAACAACACAAATAGCAGCAACGCATGCACTACCTTGACTAGCAGCAGTCAACAGACTAGCAACAATGCAACAACAACCATAGCACATAGTAGTGGCAATAACAATACCACCGCGAACAACAACAACAACAACAATAATATGAGCAACAACAGCAACAGTATCGCTGGCATTGCCACACACCCAACGATGCTCTCAGTGGCAAGCACAGCATTAGCAACAGCTGCAGCATCAGCCGCAACAGCAGCTGTTGCCGGCGCAGCAACAACAGCCGCATCGTCAACAATGAAAGACAGTAGCAACAGCAACAATTCCAATATGCCCAAGGACACTGAATTTCCCTGCAAGGTGTGCGGCAAGTAAGATTCCCCCAAGAAACTATCCAACAATTCGTAAAATACTAAACAAAATACCAAATTGTCAAGCTCATAAGAGAATCTTAAAATTTATTGAAAATTTTGAATTTCGCAAGCATATTGAGCGATTTGAGTGCCCGTATTGAGTTAAGACCGTAAAGCACGCTATATCGTAACCGTACCGTAACTTTCGTCTCAAAAGATATTCATTCGATTGAGCCCGAAGTCTGGCTTGTTTCTAGCTAGAATTTTTTTGTTCATTTCTCATTTGAACATTTTGAACGTTATTTTGTTTTCGATTCGAATATGATTTTCAATTATTTTCAGCTGTTCTTCACATTTTTTCGTACCTATTTCTGCCTACTCGATTTGCTTTGTAGAGTCTTTTCTAGTTGAGTTTCGTGTATCCAAGTCTTATTTTTGTGCCATTTAGTTTTAGCGTTCAATCATTAAGCGATAATAATTGTTGTTATTGTTGTTGTATTGTATTTTGTTGTTCCATGATGCCAAAACCAAACCAAACCAAATCAAAACGAAAAAAAAAAAAACAATTTGAAATTGAACCATCAAATCAATAAATGATTCAATAAATTGCAATTTTAAAGCGAAGAGTCACAACTCGCAAATAGGCGTTACTGAAATCAGCTCCTCACAGACTCTCAGCCAGGGGTCAACTCGAGCCGGCCAATCTCTGGGTAAGTAAGTGAATTTGGCTTATAATTTTCCGTTTTCACTTTGCGTTTCATTCATTTGATTTGTTTTCTGTCTCGAACCTCTTTGTTCTCTGATTTTAATGTACTAACCTCAATTGGTTTTGATACTACTCGAAATGCAGCGCGCTAAGTGCCCTTTGCATTTCATCTATTGTACATACATATAACCCGAATGTCCCATTTACCGTTTCTGGGGCAATTCGTTCATCGACTTTTTAAACAATTTCTAAATGTGAAAATCTTTCATAATATGACGGAGCTTGCTTTATGCGTGATCCTGAACCCGATCCTGATCCCGGTCCTGGTCCTGGTCCTCAGCAACTAATTGGCTAGCACATTGGTCGAAATTCTACCCGTTTCGAGATCACTACTGAAGAAACGCCGCAATCGTCTACATTATTCAATAAAATTTCAGCGCACATTTCTTTTCAACTCTTTCGTTCTCTTACAACAACTGTATTTATTAAATTTTCTGTTTTACGTTCGAAAAACTACCAAGCAAAACTCTGTACTCTCCATAGTAAATAATAACAACAAAGCAATTTATCTACACACAAGGCTAAGTAACTTTCAAAAGAAAAAACTAAAAAACGACAAATCGATCGATCTTTGCATGAATCACCGCAATATCTATATACATAAATATGAATATATATACGTATATATGTATGTGTGCATGTCGCTTAGATACCAACTATTTATGCTCTGCTATATCTGTGCTCAATTATCCATCTAAATGTCTTAATAGCCTGTACTAAAATTATGCATTTTTGTTAGTGAGATCCTGTTCACATCGGACTCTAATGAAACGCACTTTCTACTTTTCTCTCTCTCTCACTCTGTCAGAGTCTTCAATAAGGTGAAGAGCCGCAGCGCCCATATGAAAACGCATCGAGTACAAGAAGCGGAACAACTAGCCAATTCCAAACAGCAATCATCCACACTTGTTGTTGCCGTTGCCACAACAGCAGCAGCAGCAGCAGCAGCAGCAGCAACATCCTCAGCAGCAGCAGCAATGGCCACAGCAACTTCCTAGACTAACTATGGACAGCGAGCAGGAAGGCCTCAGCATCGATTGACAATCGCGTTAAGCAAGCAGCAAGCATTGCTTACAACTTTTAGAATATAATTAAATTAATCGATACTCGACCGGATGGATGCGAGTTCAATGTGTATAGTTAAGTAAATGAATATCGTAATTTCGATGTATTCAAAAGTTAAAGGCATTTTTCTCATCTTCACACTCTCTTCCTATCTAATGACCTACCCAACTATCTATCTATAGATCTATCTATCTATCTATCTATCTA